TATAAATATAATAGGAAGTTAGGTTTGACTCCTTGTTTTTTGTGATGCCTTTTGTTCATTAAGTTTTTGTAATACCACCTCTTGTTTCTTTAAGCTTGAAATTTGTCCAAAGTTGCATTGGAAGAGAAAGAAACAAGATTCAAAGTTCAAGGAGTAATAAAGTTTATATATAGATTAAAATGCTTACAATATTCACTTAGAGCTTACTCTAGTTTGCAGATTTAAGTCCTTAAATATCCTTGTTTAGTTGTTATATTCATATTCTTTATCATTCAACTCTGAAATCTTAAGTTTTAAAAAATGACAGTACATTAATCACTGTTCTCAAAATAGTTATTGCGATTAGTCATTGCATATTGAATCAGTTTTGAAAAGTGGATTTTTTAAAGTGTCAGTTCTTCATTTTAATGCAGCATGTTACAAAAACTGAGTGGGAGAGAGGTGCTTACTATAATCCCCTGTGGCCATCAAACCTGTCTTTAGCAGGCCAGGTGAACACTTGCAGAATATTTTCTCAGAAGGCTGCAAGGGCAAGACTAGTGGAGTTCTGTTTCTTGCTGGGTTTTTGGAAATCAGCCAAGATTTAAGCATAAAGCAATCTATGCATAATAGAATTTGAAATCTTGCTGATATGCAAGATTTCTCTGTGGGAACAGAGCACATCTGCATCAGACCAAACGCTCATCTAGGGTCTTCTTCCCCTATAATAGCTAATCAGGTCTATTGTCTCTAATACTGTGTTTCAATACAATTTTATTTTCTCATGTCTCAGACTTGTGGTAGCAAAATCTTCAGCCTTCAAGGAAAATCAGGTTTGTTTACCAATCAAAATTTTGTATTTTCATGTAATTTAATTCCATTGCTCACTTGTAAATTTATTTTTATAATTTCTATATATCTATATGTATATGTATAAGGAAGGAAAAGTTCTTACCTACTCATGAAAAGCTGGCTTTTCATAATATTTATAATAAGTCTGATTCTTACAATGTTTTGAGAATTTGTAATTTAAAAAAATCCATGGGGGAACAACTTCAATGAAACATAATAATTCCTAGTAATTGTTGAAAGGTTCACTTCTTATTTTATTCTGTCACTTATCTAACCTCTGTTTTCAGGCAGAAATGTGTACTACTGTAATCTGAGGTTATAATTTACTGAGGATAAATAAGTATGATGCTATATTATCTACCTACCTACCTACCTACCCAATTTATATGGCCAACCCACTCGCAGCTGTGGGGGGCTAACATCAGATTAAAACTGACAATCAAAATCTAAAGAAGCTAGAGATACTTAACACACCCAAGGCTAGTCTCAATCCAATAACCCATCAAGACATGTTCACCTAGTACCCTGACGCCATGTCTGAGGGAATTAACTGCATAAGAAAGAGAGATTTTCCCAACAGTTCCCAACATTCATCCAGCATAGGAAGTAGCTATAGGACATTATAAGTTTTGTAACCCCATACATTAGGAGGCTACAGGAGTTCTTCAGAGATAAATTTTCTCTGTATTATTTGTAAATCTTGGGGATTCTACATGGAACTTTTTATATAGAATTGATCTTCCACCACTAAATGACAGGTTAACTTCAGTAAGTGGAGTTAATTATTTTCCTGTTTGAATGTCTGCCTATGTTACAGCAATTCACACTTGGTGGTATGGGGGAGAAAAAAATGTATGACATATTTTGGATTTGCTGATAATATTTGCTCCTTTTGTTTTGATTGTACATTCTTTGTGGACTATCAAAGCAGAGATTCTGTTGATACACTTTCAGTTTCACATGAAATTTCCCTGTGAATTCATTACAGGGAAAGATATTCCAGGGATATTATTGAGAATGGCTTTGCACCTTTGACAAGATAAATTTTGATCTGGCATTCTGTTAATTGTATCCACTTTGGGCTTACTGTTAAGGGAGAACAGGAGATAGATAGAAAGGTAGATAGGTAGGTATGATGATCAAATTTACAGAACAAATGCATGATCTCTCCATATTTATTCTCCACAATAAGAAATTTGTGAGATAGGTTGATTCGGAGAGAATGTAATTGGCCCAAATTCAGCTCCATGGTTAAATAGGAGATGTTGAACCTAGCCTCCTTGGGCTACAATTTAACAACTGCACTTTACTGGTTAACCTCTGAAATAGTAAATAGTTCATATGGTTCATATGATCAGTTGTAAACACCCTTTCTTGTTAGCTGAAGACATTGGATTTCTTTTATTGAGCTTTGGAAGGCAAAACTATTTTAGAGTGCTGGTGAAAATCCTGTATCAAATGAGTTCATTTTAATGCCTGTTCTGTGGCAGAGAAGCAAATAACGTTTATTTTTCTGTCAAATTTGAGCTACACAATGCTCTGCAAAGCCTTTTTGATAGATTGAATGTCTTGCATTTGGGGGCAAGGGGCTTCTTATGAAATACTTTGTGAATAAAATTTCTCTCATCATTTCTGAATTGGATGTTGTTTGAAAAATCATGACCTGATTACTGTCCCAACAAACCTGATATAGAGTTAGCAGTTGCTTTTATGAGTGAGAGAGAAGGCCTTCTTTACTTTTGAAAGGATCTGTATTGAGTTTATTTGTGTAATAATTAGTAATCTTCACTCAATCCCACATTTTATAGCTATTTTACAGAGTCAGTACATAGTGTGACTTGATTTGATGGTTTCTTGGATGATACTGATTTCTCACTGTTGAAAAATGGATGTATCCTTCTTGTCCTTTTAAACCTGTCATCCAGGATACCACCTGTTTCATTCACAAGGTTTCTTAGGATAACTGGGCCACCATTCCAGTCAGTGTAATTGAGCACTGTTTAGTTTCTAATATATTTCAAATCTTGAAATTGCAAGGGTTGATAAGGATCATCCTACTCTCTTTCTCTCCCTCCCCTGTTCTGAAGTTAGGAAGAAAGCTGGTACATTAGTTTAGCTGAAAACAGGTCAATATTAAGAACAGCCTGTCTCTGTTTTCTGCTTCAAAACAGGAAAATTGCTTGGTGGAGGAACTTCTCTGCCCTCCTGAAAGGTTGCAATATTCTACTGTTTTTATGCAGGAAAAGGATTCCCTCTCTTTTCTGATTTGGTGCTATTGGTTATGTTGAACTGCATCATTCCCAATTGGTCTGACCAGTCGTCATGCAGTCTAGGAAAGATTAAAGTTATAGTCTGACATATCTGTATGATACCAGGCAAAGAAACCTGCTATATGCCATCAAGGTGAATGAAGAGGATGGAAGTAAGAGCAAATATATCTGGGCAGTTGAAAAATGTTTATATCAGAATAGACATTTTGAGAACACATAAGGGATGCTCTCACAAACTGTATACATACACGCCCATAATACATACTGTGTTCACTCTTGAAGTTCTTAGGCTACTAGAAGTAGAAGCTAGGATAGCAATTGGCAAGATGTCTCCTTAATGATCTGTTGTTAGTGGAAATGCTTGAAGCCAATGTATGAAGTCAGTGATTAGTGGGAAGAAAATGATTAATCTCAGATCCTGTGAAGATTTGATTAGTGAAGTTGAATATTAAGCTTCTGCTTTCACCTCTTATGCATTTAGCTTCTAACATCTTAAAGAATGATATATTTTCTTGCATATGCCTCCCATGACATATCTAGCTAATGTTCTTTTATTATTTAATTCTGCAATACTCTAAATGTTTTAGAAACATTAATTGTATTTGAGAATTACTTCTGATTTGTAGATTTAAAACACTGGTTCCTTTGTATACTATTATTGAACACTATAGCAAATATATATTAAAAAAATTCCCTTCTCACCCCTATGGGTGGGACGTGTCTTTCTCAATCTTGGGTCCTCTACCAGAGGCCT